AAGCATCAAAGGCAAACCCCTCCACTTGTCTTCTCTCAGATTCTTCTCCTTTTATTCCTTTTTCTTTTTTCATACTGCCTTCCTTCCCCCTCAATCATTGCTCACTTCCAAGAAAACCCAGCCTGCCCAAGCCAGGCCCTCAGCCACCACAGCAGAGAGCAGTTCCCACGGCCACACCCTCCGCCCCAGCCCTGCAGAGGCAGAGTTCAGCCCCCAGCCACGGATCTGGTCAGACTGGTTGGGGCCGCTGGCTGAGGCAATCCTGATGGACTGGGACCCACACAGACAGACAGACAGAGGGCTGGAGGGAGAAGAGAGCGTGAGAGCTGGCAAGACTCAGAGCAGTGAGCGAGCGCACGAGGGCAGACTGGAAGACAGCAAGCAGCCAGGCCCGGCAGCCCATGTGCTAGTCCAGCCTTCGTGGCATTCCCAGTGGAATAGGCCCAGCCAGCAGGAGCGAGCCAAATCCTGAGCTCATTTTAATGGCTTCTGTCCCAATCCTGAGTCACTGGGGATTCCATAGACTTCTAAGAGAGCCCTACATGCATTTCCAAAAACAAACCGCTTGATGCTGTCATGGAAAACCTGGATCTTTGCATTCTACGATTTCACTATGGATTACATCCAGGTCACAACCTAAGGAAGACAGCTGGCAAAAAAATAGCCCTGCTGGCGGATTACCCAGCTTTTGTAATGAATCCCAGAGGGATATGAACTGATGTGTGTTTCTGGCTCTGCCAAGTCCTGGACAAGTTCTCACCTAGTGAAGACCAATCAGCCTGTGATTTATTTTGCCAGGGGAATCTGAGCAGCCACCTGCAATCAAGCCTCCACTGCTAGGAGCTGCCTCCAGAAAGTGAAGGGATGAAGACTGGGTGTGTCAGGCGGAAGGGAAGTGGGGAGAGGGAGATCTTTGTTTCCTTGTCAATCAACTGCTATCTTCTGCTTTAAAAAAAATTATCTGAGGACACTCCTGGTCATACCAAAGCCACAGGACTGCTCTGCACCCTGCAGCCCCAACACAGGCGGGCTATTATGGGACTATGGAATGGCCCCATACAATGTATTCATGTTTGATTTGAACAGAACCAGGTCAATATTAAAAGCTACAAGAGATACTCCTATTCCTTAGAACTGCGGTCCCCAACCCTGGGCCATGGCCCGATACTGGTCCGTGGCCTGTTAGGAAAACAGGGCTGAGCATCACCTCCTGAGCTCTGCCTCCCCATTTTCCATGGAAAAATTGTCTTCCATGAAACCAGTTCCTGGAGCCAAAAAGGTTGAGGACTCCTGCCTTAGAATGGTGCAATTCTGGAAAACAAAAAATACACTAAAACTTGCTAAGAAAGCAGAAATACTTTAATTATTATTATTAGCTACTATTTATTATTCACTGTGTGTCAAGCAGGGGGCTTTAAGCCTTTCTCATATTCTTATATTATCTAATTTAATCCTCAAAACAACCCCAAGGCATATACTATTATTATATCCATTTTATAAATGAAAAAACTAAGGCTTAGTGAAGTGAGGCAAATTGGTCAATGTTTCACACCACTTTTAAGTGAAACTTGAACCCTCATTACTGCTCTGAGCGAGTGCTAGACACCAACTACATCTGTGCAAAAGTATTTAGAATGGGTGACACCCTGAGGCTAGGCCTTAAAGGCTAATCCTGTTATCAGGGTTAACTGAACAGGCAATAACTGTAATTTTTTTTTTTTAAGTTAATCCAGAGTTTGGGATTTCCACTGAGATAGCCAATTCTTTCACATTCAACTTCTAAAATCAAAATGTCAGGATTTTGACAATTTATGTTATATTTTTATAGATAGTGTGGGCTATACAAGCCTATGGCCTATTTATTCTTTAAAATTAAGTGTAGCAAAGGAATATGCTTGTACTATCTTAGAATTTTTCATCCAGTTACATTTCACAAAAATGTCATTTTTGCCAAAATGCGAGTTGCAAGCACACGCACAGCGGAGTGGATTGCTAAACCTCCTGTTGCTCTGGCGGCAGCCTCCTTTCTCACCATTTGTTTCAACGTGGAAGAGATCCAGGGCTGAGTGAGAGGGGTACGGGGACAGACAAGACTGACGCTCACAGCTGCAGCCAGTCCCTGGCTGGGGCTGGCCAGATGCTATCACAGACTGGCTGACAGGAGAGAAAACAAGTCAGCTGCTTCAGACACTGGTGTGGCAACCTTCTCAGCCAGAGAACCATGGACCATGCTGCCGTTTCCACTGGCTTGAACTGTGAGGTGTAGACCTCCATTAGGGAGAAAGACCCCCAAGCATCCCTGGCAGATGTGAGCCCCGAACATGCAAAAGATGGCCTATCCTGTGTTTCTCATGATTTCTTCCCTGTGGGGTGCTGCTGGGCTGGAAGGAGACCAGAAACCACTTCTTTCTTGTATCTCAGTGCTTAGCCTTAGAGTGATGGCTCCTAGACAGCGGTCACACTGTGCAGGAACCTCTGCCTCCTGCCAATTAAAAAATTGGAGTAATTTCAGAATTTCTGAGATGCTACATGGGTCACAGGGCTAGGAGAGAAGGTTATGGTTTCCTTTAGAAAGCCCAGACTTTTCAAAGAGACTGATGACCAGCAGACTAGCCACTCAGGAGTGTTCCTGCTTCCTCCTTTCAACCTTCTTCCCAGAGGCCTTATGCAAAGAGAGAAAGAGAAAAAGTCAGAAAAATCTCACCAGAGTGTACAAATAATGCCTAAGATATAGACTGATTTTTGTGCAAAAATGAATGCTCTTGCCCTTTATGTGATGCACACAAGAGCACCAAAAGATCTGCTGGACTAATCTCCATTCTCCAAGATGGAATTCACTGGACTAACACCTTATTAAAAACTGCATGCAAATCATCCTGAAGGACGCCTATGCTTTGCTCCTGAATACCTACAAAAGACAGGTTTGGTGTTACAGCTCAAGGTGTCCCATTCCTTGCAGTAAATGGCCACTGACTTACTAGAAGACAGAGTACCACCAAGTTTCTGAGGGTGAAAAGTGCTCCTACAGGTGACAAGCCAGGAGGAGTCTCACCTGCACACCAGCATATTGATCAAACTCACAATAAAGATATTAAATCATCAAGGATGTGCAAATACACCACTGTGAGAGAAAATTAAACAGAAAGCCTCCCATCTGGTCAACCGGGGCTCTTCAGTAGGATTAATAAACTTTGTGTGCTGGCCTCCTTTTATCTACATGTTTATTTCTGACTCCTCACAAGCCTTTGGTAACACTTCTCTGCAAAAGTTTTAAGATATACACATGCATCTCCGCGCACACCCTGAAGCACTGCGTCTGAGGATAAAGCAGGGGCATTCCTCTGGCAATGTTGAAACCCGCCTTATTTAACATTTCTGGACAGTGATATGCCAAGCTCATGGGGTCAGACTTCAGATTTCAAAAGAGAATCAAAAGGAGACCATGAGCAGAATCAAAACTCTGGTATTAAAAAAAAAATCTAAGGTAAAGTCATATTTTCCAACCTCCCTATTTTTCAGACGAGAACCCTGAGCTCCAGAGAGGTAGTACATTTACAGTATCTTAAGGGGAACTGCTAGTTAGCAAAGCTGAGAAACAAAATCCTAGGCACCTCAATTCTCAGTGCCTGGGTCATCCGTGGTATGATTATCCTGGCAGACGAGATGAGGGGCCAGAGATTTGTCACTTTGTGCCAGCACGTTTAAGGGCTCTGGTGACTGGATGGCGTGTACCCCCATGAGAGCAGATCTTCTGCCATTTCTCTTGGCTCATTGTTCCCATCCCCCCTACCACAGGGGGGGCCCTCCTAAGATTTAAGGAACAGAAAACTTTATCTTATCAGCTGTTTGAGGAAAGAAAAAAAAAACCTGTCATTTGATCCATTTGGAAGCCATCCCTGCTGAGCTCAAGACTTTGCTATGAAGCAGACTAGAGCTAATTCATTTGGGGTCTGTTTCGTTACAGCCCTGGACACAAGGCTCAGTGCTTATCTGCACTGTTCAGTCCTGTGCAGCAGCTTTAGAATCTGCTGAGCGATGAATCACCTGTGTCCTTCATTTCAGGTTGTAGACGGATTATTGTTTCTCCTGTTAGATTTGAGATTAGTATCTTGGTTTAAAAGTGAATACTTTTTTTCTGACTATCAGAGTAAGATTCTACTTCCTTGTGGATGTCTTCAACCTCAGCTCTGTGTATGTGTGAATTTCTGCCACCCAGAACAAGCCTAGACAGACTGCGATCCCCTTGGTCAGGACCTGCCTTTTGAACCCATGTGGGGCAGCCTACAAAGTGCGGGTGGCAAGGACGTTTCCCTACAGCTCACAGCCTTCCCCGGGGATCACTGTAAAGAGCTCATGCGTTTCTTCCACCCATTTCTAACAAGCTCATTAGGAAGAAATTCTAAGAAAGTAGAAGAGTTAGATTGCCTTTTCTGATCTGAGTGCACAGAACATTCTGTCAGGCTCCAGGAGACAGACAATTTAAACCAGAACATCATTAAACATGGAGCAGCTGATACTAATTCCTTCCCAGCCCGCCTCTCCCAGGTCCAAAGCTGAAATCATCTGGGGGCCAGGGAAGAGAGTGGGGCCCAGGCTGGCTGCCTCCTACTTGCATTCCTTCTCAGCACAGAGTGCTTGCTGCAGGTGGGACTCCTCTCACCATAATGCCTCAGGGAGATACACTGGTGTGGAAAGCATGCTTTTCATTTAAGGGGAAAAGCAAAAAGTAGGAGTAATTACTCAAATAAAAACCAAGAACTTAGACCCAGGGGAAATAAGCAATGAGGAAGATCACGACGGAGTCTTCCTGTGGGGTGAGGGTGAGACAGGGAGAAGGACCCATGCGGGCAGCACACGCCTGGAATACAACGTAGCCAAGGAAAGCCCGATGGGACCAGACGGTCTTCTCCCAAACAGGCAGGAGGTGAATCAGCGAGCACCAGCTGCCCTGCAGCTCCCGGTCCGCCCTCCCCGGCCCAGCCCCCGCCCTCTGCACTTACCTGCGATTCCTTGCAGCAGCCCACAGACGTTGAAAATGCTCTTCTTCATGATGCTCTGCACACACATGGTGAAGACGGACACCAAGGCCACTATACAGAGAATAAAGATCCCCACGGCCAGGAAAATCGCAGTGGCCTGCCAGAAGCCGCTGGCGATCTCGCCGAAGCTCTCCGCGTAGGGCCCGCACAGCATGTCCCGCTGGAAGTGCTGCAGCCCGGGGTTCCGCGTGCAGCGCGCGTAGATGCCCAAGGTGGGGTGGTAGAACTCCGGGGAGCCCGCGCCCGGGCCGGCCGGCTCGGCATTGCGGCTGTGGCTCTTCGCCTTCCCGATGAGCCAGTCTGCGCTCATGAAGGCAATGAGCTCTGCGAAAGCCACCACAATACTCAGGAGGGTCCAGAGCATCGAGCGACAGGTGACAATGACATGACACATATTGATGCTCCAGGCGGGAAAAGACTCAGGCGTCCAGGGAGTTAATCAAAAAGGAAAGTCGGTGGAGAAGCGGGCTCGGCGGCCTGGGAAGGAAGTCGCAGCTGCAGTCATCCACTCCCGCAGCCGGCGGCATGCACGCTGCACGCTGCGGGACACTCCCGGCTCTGGCCGAGCGGCAGCACCGCCTGTCGGGCAGCTCACCTAGGGCGAGAGGGGAGGCGGTTAGCGGCGCGCCGGCCCCGCCCCGCCCGCGCCGGGCGGGGCCCACACCGTCCCTGCCCGCCGGGCCCGCGCAGCCGAGACAGTCCTGTCCCGGCAGCCGCTCTGAACGCATCTGCTGGGGTTCGTCGTTTCTAGTTCTCCCCGGCCACACAGCACTCGGAACAGTAGGTAGCGGTTCACCTTATCTCTGCGCAGCAGGGCGGGAGAGACCAACGGCGGTTCCTGCTCCCCACCCAGGGGCGCCCCGCGGAACGGGGGTGCTGCCTGGGCGGCTGCACACTCCGACGTGGCTCCTGCTCCCGCGCGTCTTTTATTAGAAAAAGTCAAACAAGCACAGATAGATCGAGGCAAGACTGGCCGTGAACTCTGTCAGCGGATTGGCTACATTTTTTCAAGTTTGCAAGACCCGGTCTGCTGTTTGGTACTAGATAAGCTAACTTCTGAAATACTTGCACCACAAGCTTTTGCATGGCAGTAGTGAGTAGCAACACCCCACTTTTATTGCCTGGAAATCAAATTAGCAGCAGAGACAGACCAGTGAGCATGTGCTTCATAGGTAAATGAGAATGTAAGAGAAAACAATCCCATGAAAAAGAATAAACAAAACATTGCTACCCGAACCTATTTTTCATCCATTTTCGCAGGGTGACTTTTAGACAAAATAATTCATACTAACTAGAACTCAAAGAAGGGGAAAAAAACCTCAATGAACTTTACTTGTGGAAATTATTCACAACAGGCAGTGATGGCCGTTAACTAAGTATCATTACAACTGAGTGGACCAACTTGTTGACAGCAGAAACTTGTCTATGAAGAATGCATCCCTTGAAATGTCCCAATTCATCCCATGTGCCCCTGCCTAAGCTTCAATTCACCCCAGGTCTGGAACTCAACACGCCCATTGTTTCTGATTTCACAGAGGACTCATTCTGTTCCCAAGGACAAATGACTTCATTGCCAGAGGACTTTGCTCCGATGGCTCAAACCTCCTCCAGAGGAGCCTGAGCCCTGCAGCAGGCCTGGCAGTGCTCTCTGCCGCCCCCTCTCCTGCCCCCTCTCCAAGGTCAGGAAGAGTCATGCAGCTCACATCTGACATCTGGGCGCACGGCCCTGCTCTCAATGATTACATCTTATTAACCGAGGTCACGTCAACTCCATGAGAACTACAAAGAGCCCCCTGGCATGTTGGAAGCGGGGTGAGGCAGGGAGTTATTGAGGAGGAAGGGAAGTGGGGAAATGAGGAAGCCCAATGTCAAGGCTTAAAGTGCTCGTTTCTATGCCACGCACCAGCTGTCTGCTTGCGGTCTGACATCCTATTGAGCAAGTGACTCGACTCTCCTCGTGAAACAGGATGTACTTAAAAGTCCTATCACTGTAGCTATACAAGATGCTATTTTGGGGACAAAACTAGTGCAATACTAGGAACATACGCACTTAACTGTGTGGGGTGGGGTGAACCTAGGGAGGTGGGTATGCGCACGCGTAATGGGGCTGTGCTGAGCACTGGTAAGGGAGAGTGGGGTGCTCCCCCGAGACAGTTTGAGTCCTTCAGGTTCTCTGTTCCAAAGCCAGCTCCACCCCTGGCTGGCCACGTGGACATCTAACTTCTCAGACCTTCCCGTCTAACCACATACATAGAGACGGAAAGGGTGCCCCTGCCTCACGAGATTGCTGTAAGGAGTAACAAGAACCTGCTCAAGTGCCTGGCACAGTACGTGCTCGTTAAACACCGAGTCCTTTCCCTTAGAAGCTTCTCCCCTAACGTGGACGGCGCTGGTCAGACAAGTGAACCAGTGGAGTGCTCAGTGGTAGCAGAAACCCGGCCACTGCACACAGGCAGAACAGACGGCCAAGAGATGGACGAGGCTGCTCGTGTCTGAGCCTCCCTGGGGCTCAAGTGTGGGGTCCTGGTCTGTCTGCCTGTTCCCCCACGACCTGACCCGGCTGCCAAATTCCACTGCTGAAAGCGAGCATGAAGCCGGAAGGTGCACCCTACTCCCACTCACTCATCTCCCTTCCCCCAATATTACCAAATTGAAGAGCCTTTTGAGAAAACAGTTACCAATTATAAAAGAGCTTCAGAGGAGATTGTTTGTAATGAAAATGATCATTCTGAAAGGGAATAAGAAAACCAGCCACACTGACTCCCACAAGGCCCTGAAAGGCTGCACCTGCCCACTGGGATCAGAGACGCTTTGAACCAACAGGTAGAAGCCCAGCCTGCTAAGAGCTCCAGTGCCTTCCCATTTGATTAGAAAACCAACCTACTGCTACACACAGCCTGCCTCTATCTTGCCCCTTTTTCACTGGTTAATGGTAATTTTTCAATGCGGATGCACATATTTGTCCTCTTGCAGAAGCACAGGCCTCTGCTACTACCTCTCAGGTGACTTGTATCTTAATCGCTATGCCACTGTCCATTGCCCAGCCAGCAGGCTCTGTTCAGAGTTAGCAATGCAATTAGGTTGCAACTTCTGAAAAGAAAGGCTGTAAAACTTCAGGACTAGAGAAGATGGGACTCCAGGCTCAGCAAAATGGTTGATGCCAAATTTAAGGCAGGATTATTTAAGGACTCATGCTCTTAGGTTCAAATAATTTAATGGTTCCTTCTCCTTTTGTGCTGGAACAATCTGCCACCCACTGCACCAAATTCTCACATCCACACCAGAGCAGCTGGGATGAGGCCTTCAATCTTCTGTTTTGAACAGGGAGATAAGGTGCTTTCATCTCCCCAGCAGTTTGTAAACTGCTGTTATCAGAGGAACAGCCATGATACGCGCAAGGCCGACTGACCAAAACTGCAGCTTCCTGGGGGCTCCAAGCAAAGTTCTCAGGGTGGCAAGACAAAGGAAAAATCTGGAAATGCAGCAGGGGCCTCTCAAGTGGTCTGTGCTCTGTGAGGTGCCCCGGTTTGGCCTCATTCTCAGAGACGCAGACACCTGCTGAGACAACATCTGTATCCAAGGGGAAAGAGATCCTCGTTATAGAACCTTGTAAACCACAGGGATCCAGGCACAGCACTCCTCAGCCCCGCCATCCACTGCTCTTAACTAATTCCTGCTTCCACGAAGCTCACTTCATAAAACCAGACCCTCATTGCCATTCCATGTAAAAGTCTTCTCTCTATGGGCCACTAAATAAATTTCTCCTCTAGAACTCCTGAGATTGCTATCACATGCCTGATGATCGTGGATAATCTGCACAGCACCCCGACTTTCAGAAAATGATGCGATGTTTGGCACAAAGGTCTGCAAAGTAAAGCCTCTTAGCATATAACTAAAAAAAAGACAAACGAGGATCATGCAAAAACCTACAATTCCGTAGTAAGAATAGAAAGCAAGAAGGAGTTTATGTGAGGCTGGTCTGTGGGAGTCAGTCATATATACACATATTCTTCCCAAAGTTCTAACTGTAAAAGAAGGGTGAAGGTGCGGAGCAGGGCTGAGCTGCAGTTTGTCACTTAGATCCTGGGTTCTGTCCATGGCAGCTTCCTGCCACCAGTCAGATGGGAAGAAAGTACATGTGAAAGAAAGCCAGGGGCAAAGTTCACCTCTACCTGGAAAGGCCGGGGGAAACCAGAGGACATCAGTCAAGGTGGTGCTGTCCATGCTCCCCACCATGGCAGCAACAGCAAACCCAAAGAATGAGAACAGGACAAACGATGTTTTGAAAGAACACTACCTTCTGTACCTTGGTTCTATTTTTCAGCTTTATTATGAAATTTTCAAACAGAGATACAAGTTGACAAGCATAGACGATAAACACCCAACACTCAAATTCAACATTTGTTAACATTTTTCCTTATTTGTTCCATCCATATATAGCCTACGCATTCACACCAACACACGGTTCTTTTCCTGAACCATCTGAAAATGAGTTGCAGATGTCTTGACACTTCACCCCTAAATGCATTAGCATACACCTCCTAAAAATAAGAACATTTTCCTACATAACCACAATAAAGTTAGCACACCCAAGAGAACTGACAATAATCCCCTTATATCCAAAGCCTAGTCTGTACTCAAATTTCCCCACCCCTGCTCCATTTCTTATAGCTGTTTTCTTAAAACCATGACTCAATCAAGGTTCATGCACTGCATTTGATTAGTTTCTTTTAGTCAACAACAGTCTTTCCACCCAAACCTATCCTACGCTGCTCCCCTTATCCCCTCTGACACTATCTGAAGATACCAGGCCAGATGTCTGACAATAGTGGTTCTCCACCTTTTTGGCATCAGGGACTGGATTCATGGAAGACAGTTTTTCTACAGACTAAGTCAAGTTGAAGAATGGTTTTGGGATGATTTAAGCCCATTACATTATTGTGCAGTCAAACCTCTCAGCTAATGATAACCTGTATTTGCAGCCCTCAGCTCCACCTTAGATCAGGCATTAGATTCTCATAAGGAGCACACAACCCAGATCCCTGCACACGCAGTTTACTGTAGGGTTTGCGCTCCTATGAGAATCTAACACCACTGCGGATCTGACAGGAGGCGGAGCTTGTGCAGTGATGCAAGCAATGGGGAGCGGCTGTAAATACAGAAGAAGCTTCGCTCCTTGCCCACGGCTCACCTCCTGCTATGCAGTCCATGGCCTGGGGGTTGGGGCCCACAGTTGTAAGGACCGTGTGAGGTTTCATAAATGGTAGTTAACTTAATGTTATAATTTCCATGCTTCAATTCCGGCATGCTTTGTCACCATTCATACACAGGTTTCAGAGCTCTTTATAATGTGCACAGCTGAAACTAAGTTGTCTTCCCCTTTGAGCTTCTCTGTTATCCTTTCTCTCAGACAGGGGAAGTAGAGACGGCCAACCGAAATTACCCTGGTTTTATTACTCAATGATAGCTCACTAGAAGGATTGCCAGAATACAAGTTGAAAACAGTTGACTAATTGGCGATCTATGATTAAATCTACAGATTTTAATTCATAAAGGTCACTTTTGGAATATACTAGTAATAATAATAAAGGTTGA